TGTAAAACGTGAATTGATTACATTTTGTCTGAGGTACCTTAAATCCTACCTGCACACAGTATCCACCTTTTCAACTAAATGAAAAAATAATGTAGCGCGATTTCTATGCCGCTGTATCAAATAAAATATGACTTGCCAACAAAAGGTATGTACTGTAATTCCAAATGACCACCTTTTATTTAATAAAAATATTATTCAGCTTTTATGATTTAGAAAAGAGTAAGTTATTTTTATACATAAGCTTATTTGCACAATTATGAGAATGTCATGAGTATGTAAACTAAGAAACAGTATTTTTGTAAATATAACTTTCTGTTTTATTTATTTAAAGTGACATATATCGTTGCGTGAACTTTGATCAGGAGTGGTTACGAGGCGGCCGCCAAGACTTTTGTGGCATCGGATATGGATGTGAACTTGAATGGTCGCTCCTTCCTGATCACGGGGGCAAACAGCGGTCTGGGCAAAGCCACGGCGCAGGAGATCGCCAGTAGAGGTGAGCGACGACAACCGCTGTGCCTTGACTTCATGTCGCCCGTTTGTGATGATGTACGTTTGCAGGGGGAACCGTGCACATGGTGTGTCGTAACAAGGGGCGAGCAGAAGCCGCCCAGAAAGAAATCATGGAGCTGAGTAAGAACCAGGTAAGGCAGCCTGGCTTGGTAGTGGCCCCTGGAATTCTTTGAAATTCACCCCATGGCGCTGCCTGCATGTGGGCGGAGCTTGTTCCATAGTTTGATGAGTCGACTTTTTGCTGTTTGTTGCAGAACGTTCACATCCACATCGTGGACATGTCCAGTGCTAGACAAGTGTGGGAGTTTGCGCAGAGTTTCTCACAGCGTAATGACCTACATGTGTTGGTAGGAGTGCACGTGAGTGTACGTGTGTGTATACTTGAGACCGTAATGGATTGTGTGATGGCCGTCACCAGATCAACAACGCAGGCTGTATGGTCAACCAGCGTGAGCTGACTGAGGAAGGTGTGGAGAAGAACTTTGCTACAAATACCCTAGGTGAGTAAAAGCACAACAAGACAATTCAAAAGGACATTGTGAATGCTCAGAGAAGGTAAGACATGATAGTTAGTTCTATTTGCAAACCTAAAAAATGGATATACCTGACATTTATTTTGATTTCAGGCACATATATTCTCACCACTGCATTTCTACCTGCCCTGAAGAAAGCGAAGGATCCCAGAGTGGTGAGTGGACTGTCATATTCTTGATCTGTTGCACCACACAAAAAAACAAAATTAATTGCAACATGTTTCTTAACATAAGGAAAATACCACAGCAAAAAACACACTGGAATAAAACTATTCTAAAGAGTGCAAAGAATTAAACGGTTTGTGGGTCCCAATAACTCACTGGCCACTG